ATCACGTGAACACTGAGCGCCGAGATATAATGGGTTTTGTCAAAGAGTGACAGTTCTGGTACTGATGATTCTGATGAGTCATTGGCCTTCATATACGCAAGGGTTTTGGGGATTTGTCATGTCAATGTGGTCCAAACTGGCGCTGCGACGCCAGACTACACCCCTCAAAGATTCAACTTCTTGTGGGTTAGGTGGTTCAGAAGGGTCTCACCTGGCAGTTGGCGAGCACACAGACTAGAACGCATCTCGTTTCCACCCATGGCTGATGAGTCTTCGTTCGGGTTCCTAGATCCTAATGATGTTGTTCGGGCATGTCACGTCATTCCAGTGTTTTCGCTTGGGGTGCGGTATCCCGACAGCCAGGGTCTCTCAGTCTGCGCCCGGGATTCTACAGACTTTTGCCAATATTATATTGGCCGGTACGTCATGCACCACATTTCACATAGAGTTATTGAATCTAACTTCATGCTTGCCAGATTTGCAGATCGAGATACGTTGATGCGCTATCATGTTGGCCTCGGAATTGGCCATGTCGGCAGTAACAATGGGGTCCTCCATTCACATGTCATTGGGAGCGATGCTGGCCATAACTCAAACTTGGAGGTTGTTGAGAACATTGACCATCAACCTCACAGTCTGGAGTTGGGTGATGAAGTTGAAGTTGAGGACCAGCTGGCAAATTCTGACCATCACGATGACTCTTCAAATGATGATGAGGATGATCTTGATGATGGGTATGGATCAGACGATGATTATGATATGTCTCATGCTAGGGACTCAGACCCCGGTTCAGAATCTTTTGGCTCTGAGTCAGAGTATGATGACTAGGACAAGATTCCTTTTTTTTAATATTGTGGCTCTGTTCAGAACAACGCCGCCTTTTTCAGCTACAAGTCAAGCAGAGTCACAATCAAAGTTTTGTATCTATGCCCAGCATTGAAATAAGTTGGCTCCTGTTACGTAGCTTTCATGGCCATCACAAACAACGGTGGCCTTCACTTTTTTTTTGCAACGTTCGCTCATCCTCGTCTTTAAGCTGCGCTGTTCCCTTGAAATGCTCGATTGTGCTAGACTTATGTCTCCAACTCAGTCCCAGGTGTGCATAAGGAAAACAGTGGTGGACGAATTCACACTGGGCACGACCACGCAGAACTTCATCAGAGTTACTTCCAACATCTTCAGATATTCCACTTTATGCCCATTATCACATGAGATCTATCAAACAAACCCGATGGATGGCTGGAACGCTGATGACCCCAGAATTGCCAACACCACACGGACAGGGAGAGACATGCAGAATGCCTGAGTAGAAAGGGTGAAAAAAGCATAGCGCGCTGGCCCCATATTGTGTTGTAGCCAGAGCGGCGAGGTGCACGGGAACAAAGAACATGGCGCTAGACCACCATATCTTGTGTGTTGGTGGAAGAAGGAAAGCTGTTCAACCGGCACAGAATACTTCATTGGAAATGGCAGGAGGTGAAAGATGAAACTAGAAGGAAGGCGGGCGAGTGGAAGTGATTGGTGGCCGGGTTCCTTCTTACTCTCAGCGCGCTCAGTCACGACCAAGTCACGACAGCGATCCACCATCATCAGGCTCAGCCTGAGGTGTGTCACCCATAAGTATCCCCCAATTCCCCTCGCCACCACTTGCCATCCCCATTTTGGCGTGTCTACCCACCTCCCACTGCTCAAATGCCACGAGGTGAAAGCGTCTTTGCAACACGTTAACCGGGCATAAGCGTTGATTCCCACTTGCACACTTTGTCTTCAACAAGGCTCTTCGCCTCCAATTCACCTCCCTCTTCCAGCCATGGCAAGTGCTATATGCGCAGCACCCTGCTTGCAATCAGGTCACCATATTTATTTGGAAGCATGGCGACTTATATACTGTATCATCACAAATTAGGTTGAGGTAGTTCCAAATTTTATTTTATTTTTTCATGGGTCCTTTGTTACAAATGTTACAAAAGGATATCCATCTAAATCTATGAGAGACTAAACATAACTAATAAGTCATCCTCGATGGATCATGTCACGTTGTTACAAATGCCAGATCAACAGGTTTTCCTGTCTCTGCTGTTCAATACTGCCATCCTTCTCTGAAAATCTCCAAAAATCCTCCCTGCAAGATGAATATATGTGGTATGCCCGTGCCCAGGCCAAAAGTTTGCTGTAATATTAATATCTTCTCTGCAATCAAGTGTACAGAATAGAATATTGGCAAGTCATTTGGAAAGTAGGTTAAATTTTATTCTCTTTTGTTATAGGTCTACCACAATTCTAGTAGTTGGCCTCTTTTTGTAACCATGCTATCAGAATCATTGGGTGTTGCTTAGGTTGAAACACAATTCTTTTTGTTGTCCTAGAGCTGAAATATTTATATCTTCCTGTACCAGGTTTCCAGAGTTATAGAACATTGGCAAGTTATTGTAGGAGGTCTACAAAGTAGGTTGAACATTATTGTCTCTTGTTGTGTGCCCTTCACAATTCTTTTTGATGGCCTAGTGCTGAAGTACTTATATCTTCTCTGTAACCAGGTTTTCAATATTATAGAATATTGGCAAATTATTGTAGGAGATCTACAAAGTCGGTTGAAAGTTATTCTCTCTTGTCATGTGTCCTTCACGATTCTCTTTGTTGGTCTAGTGCTGAAATACTTATGTCCTCTTTGTAACCAGGTTTTCAGGATTACAGAAAATTGGCAAAGTTTTGTAGGATGTCTGGAAGGTATGTTGAAAATTATCCTCTTTTGTTATGAGCCTGCCACCATTTTAATAGTTGGCCTCTTTTTGTAACCATGCTGTCAGAATTATAGAGTATTGGCCAGTTATTGTAGGAAGTCTGGAAAATGGGTTGGAAATTATTCTCTCTTGTCATAAGTCCTTGTTGTTGGCCTGGTAGTAGAATATTTATATCCTCCTTGTAAACAGTTGAACAATATTGGCAAGTTATGGTAGGAGGTCTGGAAAGCCGGTTGAAAATTATCCTCCTTTGTCATTGGCTGCCAGAATTCTATCTGTTTGCCTCTTTGTGTAACTAGGCTATCACAATTGCCAGACCAATTATCCAAGGCTCACATTTTGCCTACTTTACACAGCATCTTCAAAATTATCTATAACTTTACTAAAGGGGTCAAAGCAGTGCCACATTGTTTTGAGGTGACAAATACTATCTGGCAAAATCAGGTGCCCGTGATTTTCCTGATGTAGTGGGAGCTACTGCTGCCACACACCAATGCACGACTGTCCTTTGTCGGCCTGTGGAATTCATCAATTTCACTCCTTCCTAAGATAAAAACACTCTTTGATGAATTTGAACATAAATTTATTGAAATACAATTATTTCTTCAGTCATTCTTTTAAATTTAACTCTGATTTTATCATTCCACACTATTCAAGCATTCATGGAGTGGACAATGTTACACCTTTAACTTCAATGCTATACAGAGATCAATTTGGTCATGAATAAATATTTAAGAGGCCAGAAACAGCCCAGAAAGACAATGTGTATATGACAGATCAGTGATAGAGATATACCATACACATCTGTGACTCAGTTTGCACCAAAAAATCCTGAAGTGATATTTCAAAAACAAAGATATAAATTACTTATACTTATTGAACCTTCCAAGCCATGTATGACACTGGGGTAAGTAGCTTGACTGGTATTTGATGCTTATCTGGCATCCAATCCTTAATAGTATTCATAATGAGTGATAAAAAGGAGTGAAATTGGGTTAATAGTGAAAATAAATTTAAAAATGCTTGCTTCCAAAGAATTTGGGGTGTTTTCACAGAATTTGAGGATGGGAGAAGTTTGACAAAGTATGAATTTCACTAATAACAGCTATAAAATACAATTTAGAACTTTTATAGTTGACTTTTCCCAATTTTGAAGACTTCCTTCATATCCAAATTATGATGTTTGCTTTTATGAAGATGCCAGTGATATTTTTATGAACTGAGGCTTGATCCTTTCATTCTCCACCATTATTAAAGAATGAGCTTCTACTGAAGTTCACATAAGATATTACAGTGAATTTTGTTATAACAAAATTCTCCTAAACGACAGCTTTCTAACACATATTTTTTCGTGGAAAACGGCAAAGAACTGACGAAGATAGATGGAGGGCTGGTCTGCGCCACTATACCCACAGATATATCCGTACCGTGGCTTATCCAATCCGTGGGTGGGAAAATCCACGGATCGGGTACGGATAATACCCGGATGTATCCATGACAGTCCCTAATATATGTGACATCGGAGATGGTTCGGTGTCTAACTTCGTGTAACCTATTGCGAATATTGCATCAGCGACTTCACGTGAAAGTAAAAAGAGGAGGCAGCGAGCGAGCAGGGGATCTTTGGAGTGACGTGCCAGAGGGTGCCATTGCCAGTGTGTGTTGATTGTGTGCCCACAGTGGGGACTAAAGCCAGAAACAGATTCTGAGAAAGAGAGAGGAAAGCAATAGGGAATCCATAGACCGGTGACCGTTCTGTATATGAGAAGTACCTGCGATATACACGAAGTTCTCATATACAGGCTGGTCACGACTCGGAGCCTAGGGAATCCACATCATCGAAACTTGTGTCAGAGTGGGGTCACCTGACCTCTGGGTTGTGACATGTCACATGCAAAGCTATGACTCGGAGTCTCGGATATCGATAACGTCATTTTCTACCTAACGCCCGCCCTATTCTCCTTCAACGAAGTTCATTGCTGCAAAGTACCTTCATTGCCCATACCTATATTTGTGGCATGGCAAATTTTGTTGATCTCCCAACAGAACTTCTCCTGAATATTATCTACTTAGAGGACTCCACAGATTCAGATGCCATTACCGCTCGCTTGGGAATGACCTGTCGTCGCCTCCACGGCATATGCAAGGTCCCCATTCTGGAGCGCCAACTCCCCATGATGCGCGCACTAGTGCGCAGAGGTCGTCTGGTTATTTCTAAGAAGGACTCCGATTCAGTCGTGATGTTGAGGGCTGAAGAATTACGGGACGTAAACGACATCTTCGAGGCTTCATTCCACAAATTTCAATACAGTGTTGGACACTTCGCCACTCAAGAGATCGGAAGCGTTCACGGACTTATTTTTCACGCCCACTCTATCACAAATATTACGATGAACCTTGGCCATTCTGAAATAACGTACAGAGATTGGCACAAACCACTCGCCGCATTAATCAGGATATCCTCGGAAAAAGGTCAATCAGATTTAACTATCACGGGCACGCCACAGCGTGGGCAAGGGTTCCACACCTTTGTGCCCCCTGCGAATCTTTTGGGAGACTGGCTTTCACGTCTCGGCCTTTCTCGCCTCCGCAAAGATTGCTTGTCTATTCAAACAACACAACGCTGGTATCATTAAGCCTATGGGAAAAGAAAAACTTCCCTACGCAAACGTAAATCTCGATACGGATCAAGGAATCAAGGGTTTATATATATACTCTCCCCTCCTTTTCTATGAAGCATACTTCCCGCTTACTTTACGGGTCCTGCATAGCAGATGCATCAGAAAATTATTCCTTTCGAATACGGGGCTTGGTACATCTGATTGGACCAACATCTTACCCTTCATCTCCATGCCTCTCCTACTCGAATTCGGTGTCGGCTATGGCTACATTGCTTTCAGCGATCTCTCATCGTTTTTGGGACGGCATCCGAACATAACCCACCTGGATCTCTTTTGCATTATTTCGATGAGGCCGAAAATCATGTTCCCCATTGAGTGGGAACGGCTTGAACTTGAAGCGTTCAAAGGGATTCCTGATACCGTTTCCATCTTGCTTTCGTGGGGGAAACGGTCATTTCCGATGCTGCGATCCGTCTCGTTGACACTCAGATCAAGCTCAATAATGACCGTCTCGGGACCCCCAACCTGGGCAACCGAAGAAGGAAAAGTTATCGACGACATATTGGGGAAGCTAGCGCACTATGACAGAGCAACGATCCACCTTTGCATCCAACTTCAACACCCGTTCAACCTTTTTGAATGGTTTTCCGAAAAGGATGCTAAACCATGTTCCTTGGAATCTGTGAAGAAGTTAGAGATTGACATGATGGACGGATGGCCGATGTCGCCAAAGACGTTCGAAGCCTTCTTTTTCTGGGTCTCAAATTACAGGTTCCTTTTTGTTCAGGAATTAGAGTTGAAAAGGATAGCCTCTCCGGATCCCGGAATATGGACCGAGAAATTGAATGGATTGTGGGATTTGTGTCCGGAGTTGCAATCAATCACCCTCGGGGGAAAAGTCTACAAGCGACCTATGCAAATTTAATTGAGGTCAGTGAGGTGCGTGGAGCTTCTTTCTTTACCAAAACGGTGACGCTGAGCCAGACTTCCAACTCAGCGACATGTGTTCACAAGGGCGTGCCTGCACTTCCTCTTCATGTTGGACTTTTAGGACGGTTTTAGGATGGTATCCGATGTATGTCTCAAGTTGTTACACCCGATATCGTTGCTCCGACTTGTTTATCATGAAGTGTATATCTATGCAGATATAAATTACCCGGCAACGTCAGCGCGGTCGTAGGCAGGAGGGCGAAAATTCAAGATCGTCACAGTTATCCAGGGATAAATATTTCAAAGAAAGGGAAGAAGGCAATCGTTGCAAAAAAAGAAGCAATCTATCATTTTTGACGACGTCCTCATGAAGCCGAACAGGCTGAATTTCCGGTACTTCCAACGGACGAGAATAGCTGACTCTACTGCAGCTACACGTCCCCCATTCGAACGAAATGTCGGTAATGAAAGCAAAACCGCTAGAAGCCACTGTATTTTAACCTAGCCTTGGCCTCGCCAGAGTCGGAGTATCTTTGAAATTGCAAATATTCGTGCTTGTATAGAGACCACCGTGACACTGATCGCTGCTTGAAGTAAATTCAGTGCCTTGAAAATAATGTGAGGCAAGGACGAGCCATTATAAAGGACCTGTTACCTGTGTTGGACATTTAATAGTAGGCCCACGGTTCGCCAGGTGGACTGCGATGTTATCAGAGCGCATCTCCTAGTGTCACATTTATCAAATCCTAACAAATGTCCTCGCTCAATTCCTCAAAGTCGTTAAATGTACAAAAGGACTGCCCGGCCGACTATCAATCGCTACCGTCTTCATACCAGGGCACTTCAAAGCAATCTGCTTAATAACAGTCGCCTTCACCCTCTCCACCTCAGCCGGACAAGCCCGCTCATCCGCAAAATCAACGTGATCCAAGCACGGGAAGAGCGCTAGAAACTCCGCAAACACAGCTGGCATGTCCCGAAAGATAATTAACCAATAGTTCGAGTGAATGCCGAGGTTCTTGACGTGCATGCGAGTGACGATGCTCAAGGTGCGACCTTGCGAAACGTGCGCCTCCATCCACTGTACAGCGCCTGGCATCAAGGTGAACTGGAAACACAGTTCGATGCTTTTCGAGCGGTGAGCGAGGACGAACAGGGCGTCGTCGAAGAGGTTGTAGTCGAAGAGAGTTACGGGATAGAGTTCGGAGGAAATCGTCACATTGATCAAATTCAGGCAGGCGTCCGTGGGGCCCAAAAGCCACGCTATAAACATCGGGTGGGCTTTGATCTCAACTAGTTCGGGGAGTATCGCTTTCTTGAGAGGTGATTCTCGCTTAGTCGGCCTCTCGAGAATGCCGTACAGGTTGAGAACCATGATTGAGGGATGCCGCACTAGGAAAGTTGCAATCGTGGCGAATTCTAGACCTATAGGCCATGGGTGCAGTTTGAGATCCGAAAGGTATTCGAGCTTGGAGAGGTTTGGAAGGGAAAGATTATCGAAGATGGTTTTCCAGATCTCTCGATGGAGGATGGCTTTGATGGAGAAATCTGTGATGGAGGCTGCATGGGCTTGGAGGGTGGGCTGGGTCCAGCATAAGAAGGGGGGTTCGAAGAGCATCTGGCAGTGAAGATGGAGCTTTCGTAAAGATTGGGGGTGTTTAGATGATAGAACGCCAGTGGCTGGCAAAGAGGAGCGAGTTGGACTCTTGACCCTCCGAATTTTAGGAGACAACTTGGGATGGAATAGAGGAGTTCTAACAGGCAAATGAAGTTGAGAAAGTGGAGAATCATCGAACCGTCGCGGATTTGATATACAGGGGCTCGGAATGAGGTTGCCTCCAAGGACTTTCAAGGTACTGCAAGACGTGAGTAGCACCTCATCCAAAAGCTCACATATCTCCTCCTTCCACCTGTCCGCATCAACTTTATCCGGGCCCTTCGCCGACTCCAACCAGGTATCGAACCAGCTCAAGTTCAGCGTCAACCTTTCCATTTTGGGCATGCGCGCGATCAACACGCGAAGGGTACACAAGTCCGGGAGCATCCTGTGCACTTCTCGATTCGGGTAAAAGTCGATGGTGGTGGGGTTGACGAAGAGCGCAAGTCTAAGTGCGCGGAGGAAGCATTCCGAAGGCTCCCGAAGCATCAAGTTTGTGCTCGCAGGATCGATTCCTGCGCGGTAGAAAATGATGGGTAGAGCGAGGTAGTGAAGTCGCTTGCATGTCATAGCTAAACAACAGAGAGTTCCGGCAGGAAGGTCTCGTATGAGGTTGTTGATGAGTTCATTGGGGAGGTCGGCGAGCCCCGCGAGGGGTTGTTTAGTTGTTTCTTTTGGCGAAATAGTCACGAGGGAGGGGGGAATAATGTTGACCATCTGCAACGCCTGTCCGAGCATGAGCACTTTGGTTGGAAGGAAGTCAATGTAAGAAGTGTACTGACGGCTGTTCTGGTCCAAACTAACCAGCGTTTCACGAATAGCCGCGCAGCATACTAGTAAGTATGACCAGGTGGCGTCCACATCATTCGAGTCATCTGGCACAACATGCAGAGTCTGTTGAACCCTGCGCTGATTTCTAAATATACTTATATCAGCACGAGGACATCCAAATTAGCGAGATTTATAAGGAGGAAACGTACTTCAAGTTGTGTAGTTACAATATCGCATTCTTGGCGACTAGTAATTTGTGGTTGGGGCCATATGTGGTGACTCGACTCAGATGATCGTCGCTGTAGGCTGGTCACTTCAAAATCACAACCTTCCTGAGGATCGCCACCTTCAACGGAGAGTAAAGGACATGTAGGCACATAGCACTGATTAGGGACTGTCATGGATACATCCGGGTATTATCCGTACCCGATCCGTGGATTTTCCCACCCACGGATTGGATAAGCCACGGTACGGATATATCTGTGGGTATAGTGGCGCAGACCAGCCCTCCATCTATCTTCGTCAGTTCTTTGCCGTTTTCCACGAAAAAATATGTGTTAGAAAGCTGTCGTTTAGGAGAATTTTGTTATAACAAAATTCACTGTAATATCTTATGTGAACTTCAGTAGAAGCTCATTCTTTAATAATGGTGGAGAATGAAAGGATCAAGCCTCAGTTCATAAAAATATCACTGGCATCTTCATAAAAAGCAAACATCATAATTTGGATATGAAGGAAGTCTTCAAAATTGGGAAAAGTCAACTATAAAAGTTCTAAATTGTATTTTATAGCTGTTATTAGTGAAATTCATACTTTGTCAAACTTCTCCCATCCTCAAATTCTGTGAAAACACCCCAAATTCTTTGGAAGCAAGCATTTTTAAATTTATTTTCACTATTAACCCAATTTCACTCCTTTTTATCACTCATTATGAATACTATTAAGGATTGGATGCCAGATAAGCATCAAATACCAGTCAAGCTACTTACCCCAGTGTCATACATGGCTTGGAAGGTTCAATAAGTATAAGTAATTTATATCTTTGTTTTTGAAATATCACTTCAGGATTTTTTGGTGCAAACTGAGTCACAGATGTGTATGGTATATCTCTATCACTGATCTGTCATATACACATTGTCTTTCTGGGCTGTTTCTGGCCTCTTAAATATTTATTCATGACCAAATTGATCTCTGTATAGCATTGAAGTTAAAGGTGTAACATTGTCCACTCCATGAATGCTTGAATAGTGTGGAATGATAAAATCAGAGTTAAATTTAAAAGAATGACTGAAGAAATAATTGTATTTCAATAAATTTATGTTCAAATTCATCAAAGAGTGTTTTTATCTTAGGAAGGAGTGAAATTGATGAATTCCACAGGCCGACAAAGGACAGTCGTGCATTGGTGTGTGGCAGCAGTAGCTCCCACTAAGGCTGCCCAAATATTATTAAATATAGTATACGGATCACAGATATCCACGGATTTCCATATATATCCACGGGTCTGATCCGTGGATAACGGGTATCAACGGCCACGGATAATACCCGGTTATTGCCGATCCATGACAGTCCCTAGCACTGATCAGCAAAACCTGATTTTCCCACGTAGACAGGCATAGTGCTTCCGCTAATATCATAGTTTCCCATAGTTACACGCCAAGTTTGGCTAGATGCCCTAGCGCCACACAGCGCTCCACAGCACTGTGTGGGTGTAAGCTTGTGCTATAGGGCACTACAGAGACTTGTGCCGTTACTATAGGGTGCTATAGAGGGGCCTCCACTTTCTACCCAGCCCTTATAGGGAGTCAAACTACAAGTATACTAGATTTCAGTAGAAAACACATTCCCTATTGTATATGAATAATTTATGACCAAAATACGCCTGGAATAAGAAGAAAGTACAACACTGTCCAGAGATTGATTGACCTACATCAGTAAGATGGCAAAATAGATTCCAGGTTTTACTGGTTTTGGAAGTTGCCGGGGTGTCCAGAAACCTGAAAAGGAATAGTCTAAGGGTCTCACCCGTCAGGGACTAGTGAACGTGTACATCTTACGCTATTTGGGCGGCCGGTTTCCAACAAAGGACACATAGGTTGCCAAGTTTCAATATTTTTCAATGTTTCGAGGTTTTTAGTGGTTTTCGGAGGTTGCCAGGGTTGAGAAACCTGTGGAAACTGATTTGCTCAATTACTGATGTACAAAGATTGCAACAAGAAAGAATATGAAGTATCTTTTGCAAAACATATTCGTCTTTTGTGATTTTTTTTGCGTTGGAAAGTGGTGTTCAAGCCGATTCCAACGCGTCTATTTACGTAGTATTTAGTTCAACACTTAAATGGCTTTGGACCAATTACTGGTGAAGAATCTGCCTAAAAACGGTAAATGTTATCGGAGGTCGCCTTAAACGTCGAAATATTAGGGGCTCTCAGACCCGTTTTAAAGCTCTAATTTGTGCGTTTCTAACAAGCCCAAAATCGCATGAAACGGAGCAGAACTCATGATGATAATATATATTTCAGATGTCTAATACAGGCCAAATAGTTTATGCTACAGTTTGTGAGGTACTCCAAATTTTTCTACGCCGTAAATTGGATTGCATTCGCGTGAATGAAGCGATTAAAATAAGCCTACATAGAGGCCAAACGGTGTAATACTCGTGAAGTTATAGCTATGAGCTACCCTAGAAAGTGTAAGTGTGAATTGATGGAAGTCGGTACAGTTGCGGGAAGTCACGTGCCGCGCTCAACTCACATTTTCGAACTTAGACAACTTCAATTGTTACTACTACTACCAAAAAACAGGAAATTTCGGGAAATCATGGAAATAGCCAGGAAATTTCTGGTAACAACTGCAAATTTCTTGGAAGGCTCGGAAATTGTTCAATAATTTTCCAATATGAACTTTATATTTGCCTGATTACATGGTGCCATCTACAATTGTGAATGCCCACCTCGAATGCCATGCTTTCTGTGAAAGACAGTGACAGGCGACAAACAACTTCAAGTCGCGAGACAATTCGTTCAAGTCCGTTGAAACTCCGACATCATGTGATTATGTTGAACTTTGAATTTCCCAACACGGAAATTCATTGTTCTTCCTTCCCACCACAATGTTCAACTTGTCCTCGACAAACGGTGTCCTCCCTCGTCGAGTTACAGCATCCTCCCTCCCTCGTTGACGAACCGTGTCCCTCAACGAACGGTGTCCTCCCTCGTCCATGAACAGCGTCCTCCCTCCCTTGAAGAACGGCATCCTCCCTCTCTTGAAGAACGGCTTCCTCCCCCCTTGAAGAATGGCTCCCTGCCTCCCTTGAAGAACAGCTTGCTCCCGTGAAGAATGGCTTCCTCCCTTAAAGAAAAGATCCCTCCCTCATCGACGAACGGCTCCCTCGTCGACAAATGACTCCTCCCTCAATGAATGGCTCCCTCTCTCAGCAAACGGCTCCCTCCCTTGATGAAAGGCTCCCTCTTGACAAACGGCCCCCCTCCCTCGACAAACGGCTCCCCCGATGAACAGTGTCCTCCCTTGACGAACTGCTCCCTCACTCGTCGACGAACGGCATCCTCCCTCCCTTCTTGACAGACGGCATTTCTCCCTCGACAAATGGTGTCCTCCCTCCCTCGTTGACGAACGGTGTCCTCCCTCTCTCGTTGATAAATGGTGTTCCCCCTGCCTTGAAGAACAGCGTCATCCCTCGCTTGTCGACAAACACATCTTCCCTCTGTTGTTGATGAACGGTGTCCTCCCTACCTCATTGATGAACGGCTCCCTCCCTTGAAGAACGGCGTCCTCCCTCCCTTGTCGACGAATGGCGTCCTCCTTCCTTTGAGTCCTCCCTCCTTTGAAGAACGGCTCCGTCCCTCGATGAACAACTGTCCTCCCTTCCTTGTTGGCGAATGGCATCCTCTTAGTATCTTTAATACTTGATACTCTGATTCCATAAATTTGATATACTGCAGTCATTACTATGTAGAATATTAGGATATCTTGTATAATGTAGTAGTGCAGACAATAAACTTATTTTTTCGTAACACAAGTTCTGTGTAAAAATCATGCAATATGGTATTAAAATGAGCAGAATGTATGCCCCCCCTCTAGGAATCTGCAGACCCCAGGGTTTGCTACTGAGGGCTGCAGATCTGCTCCGTAATTCTAGGGAGCACTATGAAGTGGCTATGTGTTTCTATGAATGGCTGCAGATCTGCTCTGAGATTCTATGGAGTGCTGTGTAGTGGCTGTGCGTTTCTATGTAGAGCTGCATAGAACACGCAGGTGAGGGTAAAGGTGAGGCTCATGTCTTATGTCTGGAGGTGATCTTGAAAAAAAAAACTTTTTTCAAGTTGAGGGTTCGAACTCATGACCTCGGGCATTTGGCCGAGGTCGCGTCTGACACTGTACACATAACCACTCAACCATATGCCCGTTTATATTTTCCAACATCATTCTTAATATACCTCGTTATGGTGCTGCATCTAGACAACATAAAATGACATTTCATTCCAAGAGCTATCTACACCCAAATTAATTTGCATAAATTCACATAAATTCTCAAAATATTTCGGCACAATATAATACACAAATTTATCTCTTTGATTCTCCATGTACACCTGTCATTACACAGGTGCACCATTTTCTGTTTCCAGATCCTTTGCAACTATCCCTTTGCTTGCACCCTGCATCTCTGCAAGCAGCACATGTCTTCTTTTGACGTTGTTTTGATGAATTAATTTTGATCTGTGAAGTTGAAGATGTGGAGGAGGATCCCAGCACAAATTTTGGAGTAGAATCTGGTGGTTGGAGAGCCAGATGGAGTGGAGCATCTTGGAAGAAAGATTCTTCTGGATCTTCATCAATGTCAACCATCATGTACTCCATTGACTGAGATATTGTTTGAACCAGATCAGGAACATTACTTTCTGCTTGCTGTTCATTAATTTGCATTGAACTTTCTTTCTCCTTTCCCTTGTTTGAACCTTTTTTGGAAGGAAATGAGATGATGTAAAACATATTTTAATAAAACATACCACTTTGTATTGTGCTTTCCTTTTCTTTTCCCTTGTCCTTTCGAGCTGCCAAGTTTTTCTTTGGGAATTCAATAGCTGGAAGAACTATAGCTTGTCGGCTTATACTTGTTACAATTTTTGTAAACTTCTCTCTCATTTTTTCTGTATTTGAGAGTGTTGCATTCTCTCCTCGAGTTTTTACCCATGCTTGATGGTGTTTCTCAAGTTGTTCTGGAAGCTTATAGTAGATTTTATTGTTCTTATCCCGATTCTCAGCAGCAGCAAGATGAACATGAACTGTCCATTCCTTTGCAAAGGCAGTGAAGTCCACAGATTGTGAAACCTTTGCTGCAACCCTTCTTCGATCTTTCTTGTAAAATCTCTCAGACCTCATCAAGTCATTGAACAACTTAAATTCACCAGTTGTGTGAATTGGAACCACTGCATGGGCAGTCATTTGGCGCTCTGCTAGATAATCATGAGGAGGTGATGGTTTTGTTGACAACCGTGTAAGTGTGTTAACAGGCATTCCTCGATGAAGAAGGTTTCCTTTATCATTTACTTCATAAGTAGGTTCTTCCCTTCTTTCAAAACCGAGTTCTTCAGCAATTTTTTCTGGAACTGGAATAATTCCAAAAGATTCCTTTGTAGCAATGCAAGTTGACAAAATTTCAGGGATTGGAAAAGATGGTGAAATTCCCACATCAGCTGCAAGTTCCACAATTTCATCAGACCTGTATGTATCATGATGACCACTCCATTTTTTACCAGTACGGTTGTAATGACCAACCTGACAATGAATGAGAAACTGAAGTTAGGTTCAAATAAATTTTGCAACTTACCGTAGTATTCCTTCTATCACGACTGTTGCATAGAAGTGCATCTGAGAGCTCAGGAGAAGCATGAAGTGATCCAAACATTCTTCGAAGTGGCATATGAATATTTCCTTCAACAGAATTTGTCCCCCGAACAGTACGATAACAGTGTAATCCATCTTTATCTACACCCATATCATAATAGAGTGGAATTCCTGGGGGGTCAGACATCAGGCCATCTTCTGCAGATTTTAGTGTATTTTGAGCTTGACGCCATGCAGCAGCTGAGAACAGTTTCCCATTTGATGGATCAAGGGCACAAGGAACATCTTTCCAACACTCAAACAATGTTCTAAGAACTGGAGTTAGAATATCTGGAGGAGGGATGTATCTCCGACATCTTCTATAAAATTTCCCTGGATTTCTTTTGAGAGCCTGATCCCATGTTTGACCATTTCTTTCAAGAAATGCTTTAATTTGAGCCTGATCATTCTTATCGAAAACAAATATGGCTTCTCCAAAGGCTACTCTGAACTTTTTAAAAGCTGAATGAGACTGTGGTAAGAGCCTGAGCAAGCGGTCCTTCACATGCCATATGTCTTCCAGAACACGGCTTGCAAGTGTTTTTGGACTTTCATGAGATGGTTGTTCAAGAGCTGCACTTGAGGCACTTGGAGCAGATTGTACTGCTATGGTGACAGGATCTGATTCCAACTGACTGATATCTGCATCTGCAAGGAATTTATCAAACTCTGCATCTGCATAGATATCCTCACTATCATCATTATTAAATGTTGCCTCCTCTACAGTAGAAATAGTATCATCTCTGATGGAAACTTGGCCTTCCATCTCTTTGGGATGTTCAAAAGCATTTCCAGAATTGTTATCCTGACCATCTTCCTCTTCCTCTTCATCCTCTTCCTCTTCTTCCTCTTCCTCCTCATCTTCTCCAATATCATTACTACCCATCAAATCTGATGGTTTCTGAATAGTTGGAGGTGAATATGTGGAAATATCATCAGGGAGCATCAAAGAATCAGAAGGGACTTCTGGCTGCTTAGGTGGAGTTGAATTTCTTGTGACAACCATTGACTTTGGCATAACGATAAGGAATGGAGGGTTCCCCATCTCCCCAAGTGCAAGTTTGTGATTTGCTGGTTCATATCCNTGGGATAATTACTTCATCAACCTGAACCAAGACTCTGGTAGGGGTGATATTTATGAGTTTCATTT